TGTCGTGGACGTCGGACTCATGGTGGCGCTCAACGGAATAATGGCCGCGCCGGACTGCGATTGTCTGGCCAATAGAGGCGGCCGTGAACGCCGAGATCGTCGCGGTGCTCGACGGCATGGTGGCCGCGCCGGGCGGCAGCGTCGGAGGGTGGTAGTGCGGTGGCGGTTTGTTGTATGAAGGGACTTAAAACACCTGGCTCCAGTGGGTCTCTCAGCGGCGGCCGCCGTGTGTGTGCGTATGTGCGTGTGTGTGTTGTTGTAAATATTTTTCCGGAGTAGAATCAAAAGATTCGAACACCGGGTCGTGTCTCACGAGGAAGGTTAGCCGGAATATTCTATACGTTTATTCAAACAAGAAGAGAAACAAAATTCCTAAACATTCTAATTCAGATGGATTGATTTGGATTATTAACTACGAAAAAGACTTCAAATAAGGTAAATAGAAATAGCAAGCAACGACGAAGAACAATCAGGATTTAAGAAGCTAGGGAGTCGGGGATATCCGTTTTGGTTCGAAAATGCAATTATCAAGCAAGAGATTATTCAGCTAAGTGATTGAATAATCGACATATTCAAGTACTCATTCCCAATAACTTTTCGTAACAAGAGAACAAACTAGAACGGCAAATTAACATTTCATTTAACTTCTAGGCAATACAGTTACGATCAAGCCTAGTTCATACAAGCCTATTTCGACCGACTCCTCCCCTTTCGGTTCTAAGAGTCAATTAAAGTAGACTAGAAGGTGTTTAATCAACTAGTCCGTTTAGAATAACCAACATCAAGCAAGAATATGTCGAACTCAATTGCAAACAATTGGGGATTGAAGTGTCACCCTTCAACAATTCTAAATATTCAAGCCCGACGATTGAAAAACCCTATAAAAAGATCAACTTGTATGAAATTGAACAATCCTGAGCCCGACAATCACAAAACGATATCAAAACATCAATCCCCTATCCCTAGCATAAGGATTTAGCTACTCATAATCAATCCAACACAAAGAAACATTTCAATAAGACCATTCATATTCATCAATTAAGAGAAAAGATAATCTTACGATAAAAATCCCAGAGTCGAACTCGAAAGACAAGCTTGAATCCAAGAACGATAGCGAAATCCGAGTGTAAATCTGAGTTCTACGTCGAAAAATATGAAAGAAAAGTGAAAAAACGAGTGAAAGAGAAGAGAGGATAGGGTTTCTCGTTTTTAGAGTCGAGAGAAGATGAGAGGTGTCTTCTGTCGCGATCCCGATGCATATATATAGCCACACGGCATCACGGCGCGAGGTTGNAGCGCGGGGGCATCGCGAGCGTGGAGTGCGGGGCCTAGGCAGCTGAGCAGCTCGCACAAACTTTGCTTCTCGGGTCCGTTTGAGCTCGTTTCAACTCGGAATTCAATTCCGCTTTTTCCTGTGTGTTCCCAACGAACTCCTCTATTTGATTAGGCTTGCCCAACTAGTATTTTTCCGAAATTCTGTTCTCCCGAGACTTCCAACCTACGCACCAACGACGACGAAAAAAAAGGGAAAACGAACGAAAAACACAAGAAAAACCAAGAAGAGAGCAAACACTAAATAAACCATAAAACGGCCTAAAAACCAATTAAAACGCCTAAAATGAGGGGAAAAGAAAGACAAAAGGATAACGAAAAACGCAACAAAAATGGGACAAACATGTGTGTGTGTGTGTGTCTGCAAATCGTGCGTGACAGCGTGAGAAGTAGGGAAGATGGTGATGATTAATGAGAGAGAAATAGATATTTAAATGGTACTTGGGTCCCACATAAATATATGTGTATTGACTAACTTACTCTTAATTATTGGTCAAGTGTACATATTTGACCCACTACGATTAAATAATTAATTACCACATTGCCATTAATGATTGACCATGTTTTGACTTCATCTTAACCATTAATATGATTGATCCCATGGTTCAGATTCATTCTTATTTCTTTCACTATCCTACCATTCTCATATGATCCCAACTCTATATATATATATATATGAAAGAATAATACAATTACTATTTTAATATATATATATATATATTAAAAATAATAATTATATCATATTTCACATAAACTCACACAATTATATTCAAATAGTAATTGTATTATTCTTTCTATTGATAATTCAACTACAAGTATACTTTTTTTACACTTTTGTATAACATTTTTTTCTAATTTAAGTAAATTGAATGTATAGTAAATATGTGCAAAAATAAAAATTGGTAAATTTTTGAAAAAGAAGACCATATAAGATATGCTTAATGGAAAGAGAAAATATCAAAATTATTAGTATTGAGTCAATCATTAATAAAATTCATGAGTTGAGAGAGTTCAATGTAAATTTGTTAATGTCAAGGTTTGAAACTTTCTAATTTATATTGCACCATTATTATGTATAATTTTATAATATAACTTTTTAACTTTTATGTACATTAAATTAAATTTATGATTACTAAAAAATATATAGTCCCTCCCAAAAAAATTTTTGGATCCGCCCCTGCCTACGCCCCTAGCTGGCGCGATGCATTTATTGTATTCTTATATTTTTGTTGTATAAATACGGCCACCCATCCCCCTAAAAAAAAAACACAGAAAGAATGATACACAATCATATGTAAAAAACACACAATCACAAGTACTCTCAATAAACATTTTTCGGAGAAGCCTATTCTCCTTGCTTAGCTCATCTACAGATTGACAAAATTGACGTCTTATTATTTCTGTATTTGTTCTTTAATTTTCTTTATTTCAGTTATTCCTTATTTTATAATTAATTTATCACAATTCCACTAATTACTTGGTAACTTCCGATTTATCAGCCTATTAAATATGATTGTAACCGTTGGAGGTTGACCGTCAATGAGGTACATAAAAAAAATAGAAAAAAAACATTCCGACTTTTAATTATATATATTTATATAATTGTAGACTATCTAGTTAATACAAAAGAAATTCCCGCTCATTGATTAAGATAATTATATTGGTAAAATCGTTATACTTTATATTAATTAAATGTAATCACATTTAATTAATTATTATATCGTATATTTGTTATTACCTCATTATAATTTACACTAAATGATATATTGAAGTTACATAAGTATAAAAAATTACATTTTAATACTTTTTCTTAAAGTTATTATTTTAAAATTAATTTCTTATTGCATATCATTAAACGATTTTTTTAGAAAATGATTGATTTTAAGGGCATAGCCACAAACCCATCAAAT